GGAGTCACAGGAAAGAGATTCTTAAGATGCAAGGGCCAAGGACATACCTGAGTGAAAGGAGCAAGGCTGATAGAATCTCTTCTGCAGTACCAAGCGCTGTGCACAACAGCATTGCCTACAGCCTCTGAAAATGCTTTGAAAGTGATCAGCAAGTCACAGCATGGACAAAAGAGGAAAGCCCCCCACCCTATATAGCCTCCAGTGAGGTCCTCTTCTCTTTGATGTCACATTGGCAGTACCTTGAAGTCTGGGTGACATTAACTCTAAATTTAGAGAATTGTGGAAATTGGAGGAAAAGTCAGGCAGAAGCAGAGCTCCTTGGTGTGTGCATTAGACCCCAGTGCAGTTACAGCGGCTGTGTTTTGTCCTGCTTCCCCACCACCTGGCGCATGAGCGTCACTTTCCCATAAATACCTGATGATTGAGGTTTTTTTCAGAGAAAAGTTTTCTTAAAAACTGGTCAGGCGGCAACTGTTAGTGGAAAGACAAGCCTTCGATTGGGGGAACGACATCTTCCTACCTGCTCCTGACTGAGGGAGCCAGCCTCTCAGAGCATGCCCAGTTGTAGCCTGTGTGTGCCAAGCTCAGACAGGTGGTGGTTTTTTACCATTTTAATACTTTTTATTATGAATCATTTCACACACAAGCACACACAAATAGGGCAGATAATGAGCTCCTGTATACCCACTGTTGATTCAGTGATTGAAAAAGGGCCATGGAAGTGACTCATACATCACATACTCTCATACGCCTGTCTGCTTTCATCAGCATGATGTCTGTGAGAGCCATCATGCCACAGCATGCCAACCATTTGTTCTGTTTACGGCAACGCACTGATCTTGTAGGGTCACTGCAGTTCGCCCACTCATAACTTGACTGGCATTTGGATCGCTTCCAGCTTGGTGCTGAAATAAAGCTGCTGTGAACACTTGGCTATAGATCTTTGCATTTTTGTTTCTCAACAAGACACATTTTGGATAAACCTGTGACATCCTGAACAGGCTTCTTTATGTGGGAGAAACAGGTGTGCTGGCCTCTGAGCCAAAAACATCCCCCTGGGCCAGTTGAGGTTTTCCAGTCAGAACCAACAGATCAGCATTATTCAGGGCGATGGGTGTTCTAAAACTGGATTGTGGTGACAGTTGCACAACTCTGAAAATTTACAAAAACTCAAGATTTCCTAACTCTGTCCTTAGAATGAGTGAATTCTGTGGTGATGCACATCACCCACTGCTGTGGAGTTGATTCTGACTCACCGCCCCCTAAAGGACAGAGTAGAACCACCCTGCAGTGTTTCCAAGGCGGTAAATCTTTACAGAAGCAAAGCCCAAACCACACCCACTGCTGTGGAGTGGATTCTGACTCACAACACCCCTAGAGGACAGAGTGGAACTGCACCACAGGGTCTCCAAGGCTGTCAATCTTTACAGAAGCAAAGCCCAAAGCACACCCACTGCTTTGAGTGGATTCTGACTCACAGTGCCACTAGAGGGAAGAGTAGAACTTAAGAGTTTGCAAGGGTGTTAATCTTTATAGAAGCTGACTGCCTCATCTTTCTCTCTCAGCGTGGCTGCTTGGTTTGCACCACTGACCAATGAATTAACCACTGCACCACCAGAGCTTATTGGTGTGTACGTTGTTGTTATGTACCATTGAGTCGGCCCCGACTCATAGTGACCCCTCCTTGGGTTTCCGAGGTGGTATCACTACGGAAGTAGATTGCTCAGCCTTCCTTCCTAGGAGTGGCTGGTGGGTTTGAACCACCAGCTTTCTGGTTAGCAGTCAAGTGCCTTAAGCACTATGCTACCAGAGCTCCTTAGACCCCAATAAAGCATTTTGTGCTGCTTTCCCACCATCTGGCACATGATGGTCAGGTGACACAAATATATGCTGATTGAGTGTTTACAAGAATTTTGAAGAATTTGGTGGAGAGGGACATGGTACTTTTCAGCAGCTTAGATTAACCCTTTGTAGACTGCATTTGTGTCTCTAACATGTATAATCTGTAAACACTGCCAGTTCACGCTGATTCACAGCAACACAGTCTCTTGAGTATTTCTGTTTAAAAATGTATAGACATTAAAACACACTGCTCCTTTTTCTTCCCACATTTTCTCACTCGCAGACTATGTCAGCCAGCTTGGTGGCTGAGCTAGACAGCCAGACTGTTGACACCAACCTACCCATTCTCACAAGGCATGCCCACTGCCAACTGGGAATTGAGTGTGTACTTCAGCATGTGTCATCCTTCCAGCCAAGCTCTCTGCCATTTATTGTTGGTTCTTGTGACACCTAATGGCTGGGTGAAGACAGAAGAGAGCTGGACAGGTCAATGCTTGGTGCTCAGACAGAGGTGCTCACACATTGAAATCACCTGGAGGAATGATTGCTAGGCCCCACCCCAGAGGGACAGGATAGGTGTGGGCTGAAGACTAATAATCTGAATTTCTATCAAGTTTCTGGGGGCGCTGATGCTGTGGGTTCTGTAACCAGCTCTTAAGGAACAAGAGAATGGCAGAGGAAAAGGGCAAAGGGGAGCTTGGGGGCTGGTAGAAGATTGTAGTTGAAGGGCACCCCAAATGCCTGTGGCCAACAGTTCTGGAAACAGAGCTTAGAAGCCAGTGCAGTGTGAGGAGCACATCACCACAGGGTCCCAGGCCTGGTCTATGGCACTGTGTGACTCAGAGCGCCTCCCCCAAGGCTTTTCCTGCTCAACCCCTTTCAAGACCCTAGTGGAGGCCTGACTGGTTTGGCACTCTTGCCCCTGGTGTCCGGAGAGGATGCTACAACAAACAGACTCCACAGCCCTCCCTGCTCAAGGGTGCAGAATTCTTAAAGCTGGATCATTTTGAAGTTAATCTAGGGCAAAAATTAACTTTTCTAAAAATGCTGATTAAATGCCAAATTTACAAAGACTGTCACGAACTGAATTATGTCCTCTCAAAAGTATGTGTCAGTTTGCCTGGGCTGTGATTCTCAGGGTTTGGGAGTTATGTAATGATGTAATCACTCCATGATGTGATTGGATGTGATTATTCTTCATTTGTGATGTGATAGTCATGACCTCACCGTGGAGGCAGGAGCAGGCTGTGGATGCCCTCCACAGGTCACAGACCTGAGCTGATGTATGGGGAGTTTTTACAAGAGGAAAAGGAGCGAGAAGCAGAGAAAGAGGGACCTGAGTATCACCAAGAAGAGCCAGGAGTGGAGAGTGTTCTAGGACCCAGGGTCTCTGTGCTAAGAACCTTCTAGACCCTGGGGAAGATTATCGCCGAAATAAACCTAGATCTATAATGCTAGGTGCACAGCTGCTGAAAGGAGACAAGGGCCTTCCCCTAGAGCCAGCAGAGAGAGAGGGACCTCAGTACCACCAAGAAAGAAGAACCAAGAGTGGAACATGCTCCTTGGACCCAGGGTCCCCCAAGAACATCCTAGACCCAGGGAAAGATTGATGCCAGGATGCCTGGAGATCTCCAGGAACACCAAGAAGCAGCTGAACCTGTTGTAGGAAAACAAGGGCCAATGATCACAACAGGCTGAAGTGAGAAAGCAGGTTTATTGCATGTTGAGACCCAAGGAGACGGATGTCTGTCTTCCTGAGCAAAGGGGTCAATAGGATTCTATACGGAGATGGGAAGGGGGCTGAGGATCCCTTGGACTGCCAGGAATGTTTTTATTTTCTTTCCTGGTTACTCTGGACTCAGCGTCCCTCTTCCCAGAGTTGTCTTGCTTCCTAGGCTACAGCTCTTAGCTGAAACCAGTTGTGGGAGAGGGTTATGCTTAGAAGAATGTATAACTGAAAATAACAAACCTGAAGAACTCAGTGTCTGTAAAAAGGTTGGCTCTTCTATTTACTTAAAGGGGAAAAACAGCAAGATAGTCACTATGATTAATGTCCACTTTAATTATGCCTGCTAACCTATGAAAGTTCTACAGCTTTCAGTGAGGGCCCCTTCAGGCTTCTACTCTAGCCTCCCACAAAGAGACAATGACCTTCCCTTAGAGCCAACAGAGGGAGAAAAAGTCCTCCTAGATCCGGCGCCCTGATTTTGAACTTCTAGAGTCCTAAACTGAAAATAAATTTGTTTGTTCAAGCTACCCACTTGTGATTTCTGTTATAGCAGCACTAGAGACTAAGACACAGGCACACAAAATAATTATAGTTTTAATTACATTTTCAAACACCAAAGCATCAATGAGAATATTTGAAGGTTGGAAAATACATAGCATTTCTTTCCTTACATAAATATAAATACTGGCTATGGAAACAATACCCACTTCAAACTCCATCTTTCAGGCACTTGGGTGGAGAAAGTGCTAGAGAATAAAATACAGTTTTACTTCACTGCTAGTCATAAGAGAGCCACCAAAACTGTACCTGGTACTTTGAGACTATAGGCCAGAATAAGCACTCCCACCGGCTCAGAAACAACACTCCCTCTAGACACACACTTGCCACTCTACATTCAGTGAACTTGAAACGGGAACTCTCTCAGACGATGGTCCTCAAGATTTCAAACCCCATTTAGTCTGCTCACCACAAGATGCAGTTTTAGGAAACAGAGCCCGGAGAAAGAAGAGTGTTCTTTTTATTGACTTTGGCTTTTTAAAGAGTCGAGAGTGCTCTTGCTGGGCACATCTGAAGGTTGAGCCAGTCCTCTGGGCCCAGCAGTGTACTGGGGGCTAAGAGGGGAATCATTAGTGCTGAGCTGGCTGCTAGCACCATTAGCCACGCTCACTGGCAGGCCTCTCGATGAACCAAACGAAGAGACATAAAGTCTAACGCTGTCCAGGAAGGGCCGGGCTAGAACACTTGTCCTGGGAGATGAGGAGGCATGCTGCGTGGGGACCAACTACATTCTTCTTGTCATAGTCTCGCTGGTGACGAGAGGTGCCCTGCTGAAGATGTCTGAAGGCACGGATTCCAGCCCAGACCAGGGGGAAGGCTGGTGCTGGCTCCCACCTCCCGAGCCTGGACCGAGGGCCGTTCTGAGGCGCTGTCAGCGCTTGGCCGCCAGGGCCTGCACGTGCTGGAGCAGCCGCTCGCAATGCGCAGGGGAGCGGTGCTTGTGAAGCACAGCCTCAGTCTCCTGCACCAGGATCTCGGGGAACAGGACACTGCCGTCTTTGAGCACCTCTGGAAAACAGCAAGACTCCATGAGGACGCCAGAAATAACTACCCAGCCTCCTCATCCTTTGCAGATCCTGAATACAGCTGTCCCTTGTTATCCACAGGGGACAAGATCTGGGACCCTGGATACTCAAGTTCCTTATATAAAATAGCACAGAGCCTGCACACGACCTATGCACTCCCTTCCTCCCATCTACCACCACCTACGACGGTGTAAATGCCGTATAGATAGCACTTTACCACCCTCTGAGCCTTTTCTAGGGCCTTCCGGGAACTGCCCTGCCCCCTTGGCAGTATTTCCCAGTCACAGCTGACCATCCTTTCCCTATGTCGTCCTTATCAATGCACTCAGGTCTGTCCAGCTTTTGCTCTGTGCAAATGCTGCCTTTCTGATGCCTCATGGTTGATTGATCTAAGGGGTGTGCCTCCAGGCGGTGGGTGTTCTGCTTGTAGGCCTTTCTCCTGTTTGGCTTAGAGCTAATCCCTGGAAGTGAGTCTGGTTCCAGGCCTGAAGGATAACCCGGGGCTGTTGTTAAATACGTTTTTCAGAAACATATGCCATTAGACAGTGGTCCTGTAAGTGTATTTGTATGATCCGAGTTCCCAGGCATATGGTAGAGCTGACAAGGGACAAGGTTGTAGTCACTGCTTGGTCATAGTCAGCTGCCCAGAGGGACCGAGTAGGTGACCCTGTGGGCTCGGGACCATAGTCACAGGGGACATCAAGCTCAATCGGCATAACATACTACACAAAACATGGTTCCACCACCTACTTTGGCGAATAGCAACTGGGATTTTAAAAGCTTGCAAGCAGCCATCTAGATGTAACGATGGGTCTCTCCTCATCCAGAGCAAAGAAGAATGAAGAAAACCAAAGATTCATGGAAAGGATTAGTCCAAGGGACTGGTAGACCATGTGATCTGCAGCCTATACAACTATGAGACCAGAAGAACTAGATGGTGTCCAGCTACCACTGTTAACTACTCAGAGGCAGATCTATGTAGGAGATCCTGGATAAAGAGGGAGAACATTGTGGAACAAAACTCAAAATCATTTGGGGAAAAAAAACAAAGCGGGGGGGGGGGGGCATCAGGTTTGCTGGTCTGATAGAGCCTGATAGAACCACTGAGACTATGGCCCCTAGCTGCCCTTCAGGTCTGGAATTGAACACACACCTGTGGCTTCCAGCCAAACAAAAGACAGGCATATGAGCTGAACATTTACTTGAGGTAGATACACTCCCTGGAGAGCTCAATCATGGGAGAATAGAAGGACTGTTTATTTATAGGGAGACAGCTCAGGGGCAGGAGTGCATGGAGGGATGGACACAGGGAAGAGGTAATTATCGGGAGGACGTGGGAAGGGAGCTGTTGCATTGGGGTAAATTGTAGTCAATGTCATGAGATAAAGCTTATGTGAACTACTGTATGGAACGTAAATTTGCTCTGTAAATTTTCACCCAAATCAATATAAAAAACAAAAAATAAAACAATGCCATTAATGTTACTATGAAATGGGTTTATCCTTATTTTAAACAAATTAATAAATACTTGAAAATTCCCTCAGTTTCAGTCACAGCAAATGCCAGTGGACAAGGTCATACACGTGAACACTGGGATCTCTGATACCACTGAGGGCCCTGAGCTGCTGCCTGGGGACAGGCCACTCAGATGCAGCCCAGGGCCAAGTCCAAACGGCTCTACAGCTCACCCAAAACGGCATCCTGCACGGCCGGCTCTGGGTCATCCAGGTACACGAGCAGCTCCCGGTACAGGTACTGGATGTGGCTCTGATAGCAAAGCTTGCTATTATCACTGCGAATACACTTCAGCCAGGTGCTCAAGGTGCTAGCAGCCGCCACCCTCACCTCATTGGAGACATCATCAAGGCGTTTCAGGAGTTCTGGAAGAAGTGGGTCAGACAGCATGTAAGGCAGAGGTGCGCCCCTCACAGGTGGCTTGCACAGCAGACCCCTTGCCCTCGGGGTTGTGGGGACCCCAGCACAGGGAGTGTTCCCACCTGCAGCCTACACACAGGTCTGAGGGACACCTGGACCCATGTGGCTGGAGGCGGTGGAGGAGGGTGCCAGGCTCTGGCGGGGTTCCCATCAGGCCTCGTGTGCGGGCTCCCCTTTTAAAAATTACCAAATATTTCTGGCATACAGAACATTTAACCTTATAGCCACTGCCCATCAGGAAGTAACGGGTAAATGGGTGCACGTGGTGGCCTCAGGCGTGTGACCCGCCTGGCCTTCCCTGACAACAGCCACCCCGCTCCACACGTTTCTAGAACCTCAAGCTGGCTCTTCTTTGTGTCTGTCCTCTCTTCCCGTCTGCCTACCTGCTTCTCCGCTTGTTTTCTTGTGGATGTAATTCTTTTCGTTTTTGGGGATCTTAAACCCGCTCTACAAGGCTTTCACTTCTGACATGGGGTCTGCTGGCGTCCTGGTAACGCCAGCTTTTCCGTGTCCTCAGGCATCCGTGTGAGGCTCCCCCTGATGGGACGACCCCCCATCTCTGCACTCACTACTCTTCAGTGTTGGGTGTTTTGGTGGCTTCTCTCTGACCATCCTGTCCACTTGCCCCCCCAATCCCAACCACAGTCTATACTGGGGGTTTGCCTGGCAGGTGGGCTCCCAACAGGCAGAGGCCCTGGGGTGGCGTCACATCTGGGCCAGGCTGCAATGGCTGGCGTGGGTCTCTCCACATGACTCCATCTCTGCCCACTCTGGGGTCCTTGGCTTGGCAGTGGCCCATTCTACAGCTTGCCTTCCACGGGCAGGACCTCGTCCCCTGTGGCCTCGGCCTCCTGGCTGGTACCATCGCAGGCTAAGCTCTGGTTCCATCTTCGTGGTGCCCCCATTTCCGGCCCACACCACGATCACCCTTCTCTGTGTGCGCCCGTGTCAGTGCCGTATCATACACAAAGAACCCGAGGTGCTTGGAAAGCAGAAACAGCTGGCAAACCTGCCCTCGTGCAAGCACGCACCCTGAGGTGCGCGGATCCCTACCTGGGTAGATCTTCAGTAGGCCGTCTGGCTCATTCGTGTCACCAGAGGTCTGTAGAAACAGGTTGATGATGCGGCAGGAGACCAGCCGGCTCGTCTGTGAGTCCTCCTCCAGCGTGGTTACCAGCTGTGGCATCAGTGGCCCCTGCACCTCCAGGATCTGCAACGCGCAGAGCGGAGAGGTGGCGCTCAGCACGGACTCAACGAGAGCCCCGTGCGTGTGGCTGCCTGCAGAGAAGGGGTGGCTCTGCCTCATACACCAGGGTCTGGAGGGCCGTTTGGGAATTTTCACCCAGGAAGTAAACGTGAATCTTCACTTGAAGTTTAGATAACGTGAACAATATGTTTAACTGGATCAGCTGATTTTTAAAACAGTCAATTATTTACAAATCCTTAATGATGCACAACTTGCACAGCCAATAGGCATCCACTTAACTCTCCGGGGGAGCTGAGCTTCAGTCACCTCCACCCGCCAGCAGGTGGTGCTCAAGCCACGTCAGCTGCACAGAGTGGTTTTAAGGGTGAGTATCTGACAGTGAGACAGAGCAGCATCCCGACAGGGTGCATCCCAACAGGAACATCCCTGAAAGCGCATCCCCGTGATGGCTCAGCCAAGGCAGCGTGGGCACTGTCATGTGGCCAAGTGGCAGCTGCCCTTCCCATCTGTGTTTATGGCCAGGTCAGTGAAGATCCGGGAAAGCTCAGGCACCGCCCCCTTCAGGCACCAGCCCCTCATGGATAAATCCCACTTTGCAACCTCCAGCAGGTGAAGTTGGCCCTGCCGACCAACCCCTGCACAGACCAACTGTGGCTGACAGCTCCTCCCGGAGAGCAAACCATTCAGCAAGATGCTGCAGCCACAGCCACTGCCTCACCCAGCCCACTGAGACCCCCCAGCTCCCCTCCCCGCCCACCGAGACCCCCAGCTCCCCTCCCCGCCCACCGAGACCCCCCAGCTCCCCTCCCCGCCCACCGAGACCCCCAGCTCCCCTCCCCGCCCACCGAGACCCCCCAGCTCCCCTCCCCGCCCACCGAGACCCCCAGCTCCCCTCCCCGCCCACCGAGACCCCCAGCTCCCCTCCCCGCCCACCGAGACCCCCAGCTCCCCTCCCCGCCCACCGAGACCCCCCAGCTCCCCTCCCCGCCCACCGAGACCCCCAGCTCCCCTCCCCGCCCACCGAGACCCCCCAGCTCCCCTCCCTGCCCACCGAGACCCCCCGCTCCCCTCTAGCATAAATGGCCCCACTCCCACGTCTGAACACTACAGAGGTTTGCTGGGGCACCTCAGGAGTCGTTTGGAGTCATGGTGCCACGTGGGTGCCTGGGTGCCCTCCAGTCCCATCCCACACAGCTGGGTGCCCTGTACCTGCTTGTCTGACAGGGTCCCGGAGCTGACGAGCGCCCAGATGCAGGACACGGCAGCAGTGCGGATGGCGGCAGCGGTTCTCCCGGCATGCCACTGCAGGTTGGGGACCAGGATGTCTGTCACCAGTGTCTTGAGGTAGCCATGGAGCTGCCTGTAGCCAGAGCACAGGGGGTTAGTGAAAAGCTGCAGTTCTGATGGGACCTTGGTCAGGGTTGACCTGTGCCAGGGTGGGCCTGGCAGAGGGAAAACTGAAGGAGAGCCAGATACCGGCACAGACCCTCTGCTCCCTGGAGGGGAAGCTGTGGGTGGGACCTCAGTTCCCTGGCAAGAAAGGTCAGGAGCAAGCAGGTCAGGGTGACAGGGAAGGGCCGGTGGGCTCCCTGGTCAGGGTGACACAGGGAGTGGCTGGAGGGGTCCCGGGTCAGGGTGAGACAAGGAGGGGCTACCCACTCTTCAGGGCAGTGCCTTTGTCGCCTGCACAGAAATTTAAAAGCATCATCTGCAGAGTGGCCTGAACCCTGTGTCGGCCTCCAGGGGCCCATGGAAGGGCCCAGAGCCCAGAGCCCAGGTGCTGGCAGCACCCCGCCTGGGGCGCTAGCTGCAGGGGCTTGACCGAGCACCCAGTAAACCAGAACTCGCTGACCTGAACCCCTAAATCGTAAGGGGCAAAGCAGCTACCTTGAAACGCTGGGCCCATGTGGCTCCTTGACAAGCCCACTCTGGGGCACTCTGTCGCAGACCAGACGGGGTCCCACTGGCGAGCTGTTCATTAAAGTCACACACATCACCTCTGACGAGTGAGTTTCAAAGAAAACTTTTGTTTTGGGGTTGCCCCGATTTCCAGATCCTCAAACCAGTGCCGAACATAGGCTTCCCCCTGCCCTGGGCTCCAGGTCTTCTTGCCCCTCCGAGGACCTGGCAACAGCAGACGGCTGGTGTGGAGGAAGGCTTGCACGTGGGCGCACCCCTCACTGAGAGACCACAGTCAACAGGGTGGTCTCAAGAGGAGAGGGAAGCCCAGCAGGGATGCAGCAGCTTGGCGGGCAGGGCCTGGAATGGCGGCCTGGATGGGGGCCAGAAGCAAGGGCTGGTGTGTGAGGCCTCCTGCTTATAAAGGGGGTAACTACACCCTTACAGGGGCTCGATGCACACAGTTGACACGCCCGGCTGCTCCCTGCAGGGTTGGCAGTTTGAGCCTACCTAGGAGGAAGGCCTGGGGACCCTCTGCCAGGTCAGCCAGTCAACCTGGTGGCACGCAGCTCTGCTCTGGGGCCCACGGGGCGCCGTCAGTCAGGCTGACTCAGCAACTAGACTGGGGGGCTCAACAGGGAGCCTCTTACGCAGCCACACCTCACACTGAGCCTCAGTCCTGCTGCTGCTCCTCCGGGCCTTTTGTGACCACCTGCGCCAGGACTGAAGGCAGGTTCCAGAAGCCGCCTTCAGATGTTCCCTGCCTCACTCCCTCCCGCCTCCCCCAGGGCGGTTCCCAAGTGCTGAAGGTGCTCTGTAACTGCCCGTGACAGACGAACACACACATACACTGGACAGGTGACGCCAGCTGTGGGCCCTTCCCATCGCTCTACTGTGGGAGTGGATCCGTGCTGAGATCCCACCATTTTGGAATTCTGAGGGTCAGCACCACATGGTGCCCCATCTTTCCCGCTGGAGACACAGCTCACACATCCCTGGGAGCAGTGGAGACTGAACTGTCCCCTGCACTGTTTTCTTTGGGGCTGCCCCTGACCCGGAATCAGAACCTCAGGGGCTAACTGCCCTTAGGAAGGACTGCTAACGTTCACTGCTCCCTGAAGCAGCGGCAGACCGAGCGTGGGGACTGGGGTGGGATGAGGAGTGGGAGGCCAAACACAGGGACAGAGCGCAGCAGGGGCAGGCCGAGCGTGAGGTCTGGACCGGGACCAGGAGCTGGAGGCTGAGCACGGGGTCCGGAGCGGGGCCAGGAGCTGGAGTGTGAACGTGCTGCCTGCACCGAGGACCTTCCAGTACCGACACCCACTTCCAAGAGGTGGCCACCCGGTGCCATGCTCACATCCGTCTACGGGGTCCCCTAGGCCTCGGCGCTTCTGCCAACAATCAGGAAACAAGGTGACCCACTGGCATGAGGCCCAACAGCAGAGGGTCTGTGTTCCAGTCAGAGCCAGCGTCTGAGACACCGTGTGTCCTCCACTTGCAGCTTTCTGCCTGTCGCTCACCACGAGCACATCTCTGAGAGGCCCACTCGGCTCGTGGTGCCCCTCCTGCTGGGTCACGAGAGGACCCGGGACGGGACCCGCAGGCCAGGGGAAATGGACCACAGCTGGGATGGGGTTGACTCTGACCGCTTGACTGATTTAACAGGAAAATGCCAGGCTGGGGGCTGCTGCAGTCAGATCCACCAACACTGTCTCCACATGGTTCCAGAGCCTTCTAACGCCCTGTTGTGGGGCCTGCATACAGATCCCAGTGGACTCGTGTGTCCCCATGTTGCTGCCAGGAACTCCAAGATGCACAGCCTTGGGGGCACAGGTCTGCAGCCCAGGTCCCCAGACTCATCAGCACACACACAGAGCAGAGCCCTGCTGGGGGACCCCTAGGACACATGGCCTTGGGGGCCACAGGGCTGCAGCCCAGGTCCCCAGACTCGGCACGCACGGTGGAGCCGCTGCCTCGCCCCCTGAACCCCTGGAACACCGCGGGTCCCCAGACTTGGCACGCACAGTGGAGCCCCTGGAACACCACGGGCCTGATGTCCTCAGGCTGCAGCTGCCTCTCCCAACAACAGAAAGGCCTTGCTGATGCTGCACCATCAGAGGGGGGCTGGTCACCTGAGCTCAGCTTTGAAAACTGAGACCAACCAACAGACACCTCAGTAACGGCTGATGTCTCGAGGCTTCTGGACTTGGGGGAAGTTCAATGACACCTTTGATTGAGCACTTCCCCGGCTGTCTTAAATGCAGTGCAGTCACCCCAGAGGACACGCCAGAGTGCCCTGCTGGCCTCTGAGAAGACCATGGGCCATACCTTAAAGCCCCGTCTCAGCCCCAGGGGTGAGGGGTCCCCAGCTGAGCTCCCCAATGGGCCGCTGGGCTGGGGCCATACCTACCCTTGGGAATCCACCGTCTCCCCGGCTCTCAGCAGCACTTTCGACAGGAGGGAGAACAGCCTGAGGCGCATCTGGGGGTCCCTGGTGGGCTGCAGGCAGCTGCTGAGGGTAGGGATCAGGTGCTGAAGGGCCTCTCCCACAGCAGGGCCTGGAAAACAGACGGGCGGTGGGTGTCCTCCTCACAGGGCGTCAGCACCCAGGGCGTCTTCCACAGAACGTGGGGCATGTGTGTGTGGCCCCAGCCTGGAAGTGGAAGCCTGGGAGAAATGTATACCAGCTGCAGCCCCACTCTGTCTGGGTCACTCGCTGACGAGACAGCATGGAAAGCAGCTGAGATTTTAGCCCCCGAGTCACTCTGACCATCCACATGTAACCTTTCTACGTTCCCATGTGCTTAGGAAAAACAAAGCAGTCAACCAGTGCTTCAAAGACCAACCCAAAGCAGGTCTAAACACATAAGCTACTGCAGATTTTCCTGCGTGCTGAGCCACTGTCCTGCAGGCGTAGTGCTGAGGAGATATGCAGGCTATGGGTCCCCGTGCTGGGATGTGAGCGTGGACCAAGGGAAGCTCACTGAGATGACATCACCACTGGCATTAGATCCAGGCACAGTCCACAGCCACAGCCACCACACAATGCCTCCCCACTGTCTGAAGCTGGGTTCTGTAGAGAAGCAAAACTAGTCAAGCTCACATATATACACACGGAGAGAAGGAGAAAAAGGAGTTTGTCTCTCGGACACAGCCCACACAGTCGTGGAGACTGCAAGCCCCACACCTGTGGGTCAGACCTCAAGCTGGAGGCTTCTCCTGACTCACACAACTACAGGGGCTGACGAACCCAAGATCAGCAGGCAATATGGCAGGTCGTTGGCTTACAGGCTGTGAAGACAACAATCCCGAGATTGGGAGACAACACCGCAGGCCACTGGTTCAAGTCCAGCAACCAGAGATGATGATGTATCAGATGTAGGATTCAGATCTAGCAGAAAGTCAGAGACTTTTCCCAAAGCTTTTCTAGATACACTGGAAGCAGGCCACACCCCTGAGCAGATGCCCCTTCACTGACTGGCTGCTCAGAGCACATCTCACTGTGGAGATGATTACATTATGTCAGGTCTCACCATGGGGGACTACATCAGAAGCGCCAAACCACTGAGCATCACGGCCCAGTCAAGCTGACATGTGATCCTAACCATCACACCACCTGCTCCTGGTACCAAGCAGGATGAACATGGCTGCTGCAAACCAGCTTGGCTCTCTGCCATGTGGCTGATCCTATACCAACTGGGGCAGCAAAGTGCCTTTGACCTTTGCTTCTGAAAGCACCAGGGTCAGACACCAGCAAAGAAAAGCAGGACCTTGGGGGGAGCACCATGAAACAGCACGGCCCAGCCAGAGTGGGGTGACCAGGGCCACTGCAGCCGACCAACAGGCCAGCCGCACGTGAGTGCCCAGTGAAAGCTCAGGCCCTTGGCGACGTGTCTTCTTTCAATGCTACTTCTCAGATGGGAGAAGGGCGAGGACATTCCAGAAAAGCAGCCTCCCAGGATCGTCCGAGGAGTTTCACTCACAAATGAAAACAGACAACGTGGGAGCAGAGACAGGGCGGGAGGGGCAGCCAGATGTGGGCCCCTGCCGTGGGCTCTGTGCCACCCAAACACCCTGTCAGCCGTTCTTTACAAACGGTACAAACAGTCCTTGAGGAAAATAAAGAATTCCTCAAAAATGTAGGGTGCTTCTCATTCTCTTACGGAGTCATCATCGCCGCCATCCCTGCTGGGCGTCAGGGCAGATCCATGCCCCACGGGGTGTTCGGGGTCATCCCTGCCAGGTGTCAGGGCAGATCCATGCCCCACGGGGTGTTCGGGGTCATCCCTGCCAGGCGTCAGGGCAGAACCACGCCCCACGGGGTGTTTGGGGTCATCGCTGCCGGGCGTCAGGGCAGACCCGCGCCCCACGGGGTGGTCACCAGCATCGCTGCTCCCCCACAATCTGGTGACACTGCTGACATCCTTCGAGCTGTGCCCCATCCCCAGCCTCCTTTTCTGAGTCGTTCCTCCATGAACATGAACTCGCTGCTCCAAGGTTCCTGTCTGACCTTTCTAGTTGTTCTTGTCAATTTGAGTCCATAAAGATGGTTCTTAAAACAACACAACATTCAAGGCAAGCTGAGGAGTTCTGAAGATAAGGGTGAGAGGAGGGGCGGCCGGGTGGACCGTGGCACTGTGTCCTGCCTGGCCCCTCGGGTCTCAGCTGTGACGGGGCAGACGTGCCCGTCTGTGTGACACTCCCGAGCCTATGGAGCTGTGCCGCCCACTCATCTTACGAAGGAGACAGGTCTGGAGGCCAGTGAGCTGTTCAAGAAGAGCTAGACTTCTGCCACCAAGAGTCTGGGTGGTCCCATTGGTTGGGGAGTCTTGAGAGATGGGTCGTCTGTGGACCTCAGGGAAGTACAAAGATGACACACAAGGCAAGGGGAATGGCTTCCACAGACGGTCACGAGGCCGGGGGTTGGGGGCTCCCTGCATGGGGAGAGCGCTGGAAGGTGTGAGGCAGTGAGGGGTTGGGGTCTCCCCAGTGCCCAGGAGCGCCTCCCCAGCTGGCAGCCTGGACCTGCTTTCCTCCACACTGACATGAACCATGCCCCTCAGATACATCCTGGCTTCTCTGATCTTTCTGGAGGCCTGGAACCGCAGGCCCCGTCCTTCCCAGTGCACCCTGGATCCTGAGCGGCTGAACGCCCCCTTCCCCACCAGTGTCGGTGCTGCCAGCTCTGGCAGGCCATGCTGTGGCTTCTAAGCTGGCTCCTGGGTCCCAGGAAACCGCAATCGTGGATGCCCGCCTTTGCCACCGCCTTTGCTCCGCTGCCCCACGCCTTGCCCAGGCTGCCATCAAGGCTTGAGATCACCGTTTCTCGCGATTGCTGGCATTTCTTATGTGGAGGCGTCACTATGTGGTTAACTTCCTGTTTGATGTTTGCCCCACTCCCAAGTTCTGGTCTGCATGGTGCCTGCTGCATGCCTTTGGGCAGAGCCTGCTCCGTAAGTAGGATTAGCTCCTTGGGATACAGCCCATCCATCCACTGGTAAGAGTGCGGATACACTGACGACTCCAGAAACGTGGTGTCAGATGGCTTCCCCAAAGAACAAAGCTCGTTTAAAGTGCTCCTGGCCTGGTCACCCTGAGGACCGATTTTCACCTTGGAGCTGAACTTGGCATATGGCAGTATGCACCCCAGTTTTAAACACCTGCCTCTGGTCTTAGGAAGGGTGAGCACGTCCCTGCTACTGACTCAGGATGCGTGGTCGGGATCTTGTCTGCCTGTTGATGGTTAATGCCTTCACCTTCATACGGCGACAAGCCCAAGTTCACTGTTGAACTGACTGAGCTCCCAAGTCAGCCTCCCTTTAGTCTCTGCCATCGACAGACCCCCCCGCTGCCTTGTCCCCTCTGTCTTTGCAAAGTTTCAAGAGTTGGCCCTGTTTGCAGGTTGAAAGTACTTCACACATTTAAAAGGTTATCTTGCTGCACCAGTTTTGTAAACAAGGAATTAAATTTCCCAGGTCAGGAATTCTCATCATGCTTTTGTTTACTCTGCTCTTTGTGGTAGCACAGCTCGACAGAAAACTCAGAAAAGGAAAAAGCAGAGAACAAAGAGGAGACAAGAATCGTCCACGCTCCCAGGACGCATCCCACTACGCTGCAAACAGTATGTGCACTTCCTTTCAGAGCTCAACACTTACACACATGCTTATGTGCAGGCAGGTACACATGCAAACAGCATGTCTAGTGTCACATGGTCTGGCACACACACACACACACACACTGTTCAGCGTCACATGGCCCAGCGCATACATACACAGCGTGTTCAGAGTCACACGGCATGGAGCACACACATGCGCGTGTTCAGCATTACACGGCCCATACTTCCTGCTTTGCTGACAAGAGATGTGGCTCTGTAAAGGTGCCCCCACGGGTCAATTAGGCCCCCACCACATGCCTGACCTTGAACAAATGCAAGGGTAACACCGAGTCTCAGCTATCTCACCTGCTGCTTGTGTGTGTGACGCTGGTCTCCAGGGCCCACTCGCCCTGCTGCCTGGTCTGTGGGGTGGACCCTGGAGTCACGTGGCTCATGAAACTTACAGACACAATGGGCTTTCCTGAGAGGGCAAGGGGAAGCCTCGCAGGTGTGCTACCTGGCGAGTCATGGACCTGCTCTGTGCCCTTGGTTTTCTCATCTGCAGAATGGGGCTGCTGGTTCCTGCCATGTGGAGTGGCCATGAGGCTATGATAAACTGCTCTGTGTGAACCTGCTAGACGGTGTTTGGCATGGGCTATGAGCTAGCCACTGTTGGCCCTCTTCTAATTTGGAAATGTAGCTTTGCACACAACCGACAAAGATCAATGACAGGGTCTGTCCCGGGCCTTGGAGCACCAGGGTCACCAGGTGAGGCACTTCTCAGGGCCTGGAATTCTGCTACAGCAAGGGCTGCTCACACACTAACAGAAAGGACACAGGAGGGTCACATGCCCTCAGGCCCAGAGTAGAGACAGAGCACTTGGTCCAGCTGGGATGGGGAAAGTGGGGGACCCATGCAGCCTGGGGTTTAGAGGAGATGAATTTTTCACATCTAATTCAGGGAAGCAAGACTCAATGGACGACTTGTCTCGGTTCCCCAGTTGGCTTACAGGAAACATCAACGTAAGGGCTGCGATGCCGAGAATCTGCTCTAGGCCTGCACAACCAACGGTTACTGCCCTCCTGGAAAAATGGGTCTGATGTTCTGTGCAAAGATTCTTAACGTAAAGGCTGCAACCCCAAGAGTCAGCTCCAGGCCTGTGCACCCGATGGTTACCGTCATCCCAGAAAAATCAGTCTGACATTCTGTGCGACGATTCCTAATGTTCCAGCCGTCTGTATTTCTAAGGAGGTAAAGTATCTTCATCATTTGCTGAGTGCGTGTTTAATAGAATAAGTTATCAGCCTACAACTCAACTGAAAAAAATACCCAAAGGACACGTGGGGGGGCTGGAACAGGCCCGAGGGGCTGAGGGCTGGAGCTGTGAGCAGCCTTCCTCTGCTTCACTGGCCTCTGTGACCCAGTCCTCATGTGACAACACACATTCATGCATTCTCCCAATCCTCACGCAATAGCACACATTCACGTGTCCCCCCGGTCCTCGCACAACACTGCACGTTCACGTGTCCCCCCGGTCCTCGCACAACCCTGCGCGTTCACGTGCTCCCCCCCGGTCCTCGCACAACACTGCGCGTTCACGTGTCCCCCCGGTCCTCGCACAACCCTGCGCGTTCACGTGTCCCCCCGGTCCTC